CTCTTATGTCTACATGCAATTCTTGCGTGTTAACAAAATAGAAAATTTCATTTTTTCCTTTTAAGAAATTTAGCATTGGAATGTTAAAGACTTCTTCCTTTTTAAGATTTAACTTTGATTTTTGAATCTTAGTTAATACATCATGTTTTATTGCCAAACTGAAATTTGTGAAATTTGTGAAAGATCACTATTAGAACATAGATCTTGTTCTATATTCTTGTTTTCATTATCTGTATTGGAACTCATATTCCAAACAAGTTTTTTCTTTGATACCAGGCTCTGATACCAAGATTTTTAAACGGGCTGATTCCCGTGCGAAATTTATACAGGATATTAAAACAATCCATTTCAATTCATAAGAAGTGAGCTCTGCTGCTGTGCCTTCTTAATAGACTCTTTTAATGCGAGAATGACCGAGACCATTCTATTGACATTATCAACATAGCTTCTTGTAGTTGCTAGTTTTATTTCTATAGGTGCAGAAATATAAGTTTGAATATAATCATTCAATCTTTGTTCTTCTTCATTTAAATCAGATGTTAACCGGATTATTTGTTTTCTTAGTGTTCTAAGACAATTTATATCTGAAAACACTACTCTTACTGGCATATGCCATAAATTATTGTTTTCCATAGTAAGTTAGAGTTTTAACACTAAAAAAATCAATGAATTTAGGCAACTCCCAAAAGAGATGCTTGTTTTTCTGCTTTCTTAATTGACTTCTTGGTAGAAGTAACTAAGCCATATAGACCATTTAGTCTGAAACCATATGATTTCAGGATATTCATTTTACCCTTAGGTAATGCCCTGTTATACTCGAGTTCTTTCTCAAGTTGCAAGGCTTCAAGTCTTCGTTGATAAACTTCTAACAAAGTATGAAGATTTCTTAATTGTTTACGCTGATATCTCAAAGCGTTTCGTTCTTTGTAAAGCATTTTCATTGGCAAATGCCAAAAATCATACCATTGTAAAAAATTCATAATTTTTTATTCAGAGAAATTGTTTTATCAAAAGATTTAATCTATTTTATGGTTTTGAAAACCTTTTTTCAATGATTCTTGAAATTCTTTGATAAATTAAAATTCCTTTCCTAGAAACTTTGGACTGCTTCTCAGAGAGCTATTTAGGACATAACCACTATATTCAAAGGAACTTCTTATAAAATGTTTTATGGTTTGGATAAATGTTTACCTCTGTGTTTGATTTTGAATCTTTGTATCTGAATGATCGATTCCAAGCCTGCTCCACGGGTACTGTTTTCCCTTCTGGTACTTCTTCCCTCTGATTAGCAAATTGGCCTCCAGGATAAGATCTTTAGCACAAGTTCAAACAAACTGGATATTTTATTCAAACTTCAAACATTTTACAAGAGTCCTGATATGAATATTAATTATTCATTCAAGCCTCTGATTACAATTTCAAGTTCCTAAGAAGGAACCTTTCACTACTCACATATAGACATAGAAGAAAGAAA